CTTCTATGTAGTGACATACTACTATGTAGTGACATACTACTATGTCTTCTACATATGCTGAACCTGTTTATGTAGTTCATCAGCGTGAGACTCAATTTTTCCATTTTAACTTTGTAATTTGACATGAAAGGACTATTGTTGCCTGTTGAGTCTATGTAGCAATTCAACGTCAAAGGACTACTATTTTTCTGTTAAGTCTAAGTAGTAATTTGATACAAAGACTTCATTTTCTGTTAAGTCAATGTAATAATTCAACGTCAAAGGACTACTTTTTCCTGTAAAGTCTTTGTAGTGATTTTAAACGAAGGACTACTTTTTCTGTTAAGTCTATGTAGTAATTCAACATCAAATTACTTCATCTTTCTGTTAAGTCTATAAAATTAGACACCAAAGAACATTTTCCTTGTATAATCTATGCTATTTGACATCAATGGACTATTTTTGCCTAATTAGTCTTTGTTATTTGACATTTGTTGTTACTGTGTAATTTTGACGCAAAAGGACTACTTTATTCCTGTTAAGAATGTGAAATTTGGCAGCAAAGGACTACTTTTTCTGCTTATACTGTGTTATTTGACATAGAAGGACGACTTTTCCTTTTTTAGTCTATGTAATTTGACTTCAAAGGACTATTTGTTTTCTCGACATTATGTGATGTGTTTTCCTTATACTTCTCTGCTGTGTGTCAGTAAAGGGCTTATTCCTACTGATCCTTTTATAATTCTTCTCTGCTGTGTGTGAGTAAAGGGCTTATTCCTACTGATCCTTTTATAAAACTTCTCTGTTGTGTGTCAGTAAAGGGCTTATTCCGACTGATCCTTTTATAATACTTCTCTGTTGTGTGTCAGTAAAGGGCTTATTCATACTGATCCTTTTATAATACTTCTCTGCTGTGTGTTAGTAAAGGGCTTATTCCTACTGATCCTTTTATAATACTTCTCTGCTGTGTGTCAGTAAAGGGTTTATTCCTACTGATCCTTTTATAATACTTCTCTGCTGTGTGTCAGTAAAGGGTTTATTCCTACTGATCCTTTTATAATACTTCTCTGTTGTGTGTCAGTAAAGGGCTTATTCCGACTGATCCTTTTATAATACTTCTCTGTTGTGTGTCAGTAAAGGGCTTATTCCGACTGATCCTTTTATAATACTTCTCTGTTGTGTGTCAGTAAAGGGCTTATCCCTACTGATCCTTTTATAATACTTCTCTGCTGTGTGTCAGTAAAGGGTTTATTCCTCCTGATCCTTTTATAATACTTCTCTGCTGTGTGTCAGTAAAGGGTTTATTCCTCCTGATCCTTTTATAATACTTCTCTGCTGTGTGTCAGTAAAGGGTTTATTCCTCCTGATCCTTTTATAATACTTCTCTGCTGTGTGTCAGTAAAGGGTTTATTCCTCCTGATCCTTTTATAATACTTCTCTGCTGTGTGTGAGTAAAGGGCTTATTCCTACTGATCCTTTTATAAAACTTCTCTGTTGTGTGTCAGTAAAGGGCTTATTCATACTGATCCTTTTATAATACTTCTCTGTTGTGTGTCAGTAAAGGGCTTATTCCGACTGATCCTTTTATAATACTTCTCTGTTGTGTGTCAGTAAAGGGCTTATCCCTACTGATCCTTTTATAATACTTCTCTGTTGTGTGTCAGTAAAGGGCTTATTCCGACTGATCCTTTTATAATACTTCTCTGTTGTGTGTCAGTAAAGGGCTTATTCATACTGATCCTTTTATAATACTTCTCTGCTGTGTGTCAGTAAAGGGTTTATTCCTCCTGATCCTTTTATAATACTTCTCTGCTGTGTGTCAGTAAAGGGCTTATTCCTACTGATCTCGTATTTAAGCACAGTAAAGGACTTATTCTTGGACCCAGCATTTTTAAGGAAAATGTGCACTTTCGGTGCATGTCTTGCAAGCGGGGAATATCAATTGCCTGTAGGTCGTCAGGATAAGACTATACACTTTTGGAATAGTCTGTGGTGTGTCGGTGAGGGCTACCTATTTTCAGATAATTTTATCAAGTTCCGCAGTGTAGGATTAATTTTCCTTAATCTTTCTGTGTTATGATATATATGAGTTTGCTTTTTCCTTATCCTTCCGCTTATTGCGTAAGCATAGAATTACATTTCCTGACAATTTTATAAGTAGTGTTCCAGCCTAGGGCTTTTTCTTACAGTTGGAAAATGATCCATATCACTTAATGCTTGCATTTTTCTGCATATTTATCATCGATTTCTCTATGCTGTTCTTGGAGGATAAAACAAACATATATTGATTTGTATCAAGGTAGTTCTCGTAAAATAGTTCCAACAAGGCCACACGTGTGTTGTCATTGGGAGTATCATAATTATATGTCATGATCGACCAACACAAATACGTTAAAAGTGACTGACCATTGAATGACTTCTTGATCAAGACCTATGCACATCGATTGTAACACGGATAAATGTTAGACGATGACTTGTATGAATGAAGCTTATCTTTGCTGTCAAATAGGTTTAAAAATATATGGAAGCAAGCATCCTCGATACTCCAGGGGTTGCGCTCACTTTCGCTCTCTACACCCTGGAACATGTCATAGCGAAATTGAAGACACGAACATAGCTGTTTGATTCGTCTCAGGTAGAAAACTGTCCTTTGAGGATAACAGAGGTGCGATACCCGATTCAAAGCCAGTCAATTTGTACCGTTATGTGACCGCGATATTCTTTGAACATCAAAGGATCGAACTAGTCTTCTTGTCTCATCCACAAGGTGGCGCACACTGATCATGAGTCTTCAGTTTTGCTATGACATAGTCCAGGGGTGCAGAGTATCGAGGATGGAAAGCGGGATTGTTTTACAAGCCAAGGGAGATAATCCTAACTAAGTGAAAATATCAGTTGTATTTATTAGTAACTATTAAATATCCGAATATTTAACTTACTTTATGAAAATGCCCGTTTCAGTTTCTATGTACTCAGAAAAATAGTGAATTCTGGTATATTTGTTTTCAGTACATGTTTCATAATCCTGCGTTTTCAAGACTACTTAAATTTTAAGCATGCAAAAATTCTTTCTGATACTCAACCGATCACAGCATTTAAAGGCAACAAATCGACAGAGATCTACGTTCTCAGTTGCCCCTCTGTTCCGCCCTCCACAGAAATCGTGCAATTAATGAGGAAATCAGTGCCCGGATGCAAAAACATATTTATTTCAAGTATAGTGGTCATCACGACTTCAGAACACGTCTGAATCTCGAGTCATGTCTGCCAGTGTTGGTAGCGTACACTTTCCCGTACTTTGTGTGTCTTATACCTGACGCAAAATGAGTGTTATTGATATATATATATAATGCACACCTTTTAAATGATGTTTTTCGATTGTTGAACTCATAGATGGGTATCGTGCAAAACTTTGTTTAAACATGCAGAACAACTATACGGTCCGGTCGAGTGTTTACGTGCTCAGTTCTGGGTAATACCTATACCCAAAGTGGCGTTACATCTGAACTTCTACACAGGTGACTGGTTGGTTGGAAGAAGGCCTTTCATGATGGCACGTGCGTAATTCTTGACAGCTTGTTGCATATTGTTTGTACCAAAAGAAGGAAGCTTAATGACGTTTGGTGGCTGTAGGTCAGCGGTCATACTGACGTCTCGGTAATTATTCGTGAATCCGCTGTTGTAGGTGATCTGAAAAGTCCAATAGTATGGCAAGCCAAGTTGTCATTTATTCATGGAGCAATGTTGATCCAGTACTTAACCAAATTATATAAGATATCTCATATATTATATAAGATATCTTATATATTATATAAGATATCTTATAAACATATGAGATATCTTATAAACATATAAGATATCTTATAAACATATGAGATATCTTATAAACATATAAGATATCTTATTTTAAGTTTATGAGATATCTTATATCTTTTATAAGATATCTTATATACTTTATAAGATATCTTGTAAAAGATATAAGATATCTTATAAAAGATATAAGATATCTCATAAACTTTTCTTTATAAGATATCTTATATCTTTTATAAGATATCTTATATAATATATAAGATATCTTATATCTTTTATAAGATATCTCAATTAATTTTCTTTATAAGATATCTTATATATTATATAAGATATCTCATAAAAGATATAAGATATCTTATAAAGAAAAGTTTATGAGATATCTTATAAAGAACGAGACTCTCGCGAGACCGACAAAGAAGAAATGTTTGAAAATGACTGCTCCCGTTGTACTTAGATCACGAGTCCGATAAACGGGAGCTGTGTAAAACTAGCTTATTTTTCAACAGGAAGTATAACTAACACCAATATAGAATTTTAGTTGATATATTCAAATATTAATTATTATATTTACGCATACATTTTAAAATATTAGTGTTAGGAATCACACATTAATATATTCTAAAATGGCTGGAATAATCCAGAGTTATAAACTTTTCCGAAAGAAACTCGAGTGTTCTAAAGAGCCATTGAGAACTTAGAAAATGTCTGTGAAGTTGCTACATGTTTATTTATTCAAATGACAATTTAGTTTCGTTGGCCTAAAATCCAAAGGTTTAGATATAGTTCTTATTAGTGAGAATCACTGTCATTTATTAATCTGTTGTACGTCATTTTCAACCAGAATGAGACAAATGAAAGTAGTTTGCTGAGGATTTATATTGTGAAGGTGTAATGATGCCAAACTCGGTAAGAGCGCAGAAATATTGTCATAATCAGTCACCACATACTCAAATATAAAGTGAGATTTTAAAATTCATCTTGATTTATGTTATTTTTCGTACACAGCCTCGTTGAAGAATTCTAGTTTGGTTTGATTTGGGGAGGGGGGAGGGGTTTGGTTTATATTATTAATGAGGTCTTGTCTTATAGTTGATGTCAGAAAGCTAAGCTGAGTTAGTTGATTCAACATTTATCATTCACATCACTTGTCTTCTTTGTTGTAAGCAAAATTTATTGATTTCTGCTGATTTTCCTGTGTTATAAATTCATGGTTTAAAGTTTGTGTTCATGTATTTTGTGAGTTAACAGGTAAAGGACATGTACATCTGTTCAGTGTTCTTCCAAACCAATCAAATTAGTTAACCTACCCTCAGTGAGTCGCCCACCCCAAGTAGCTTGTTTAGATTTTGTCCCATTTTTCAAAGACTGTCCTATATGTTAATTTAGACCTGGTGGTATAGAATCTTGCAATCTACCAGATATAAGCAAATCTAAAATACACGAAGAATATTTATAATGAAATACAATTTATTATACCCAGGACATTAACTGCTTATTTTTACATTTGATCTAACTTGACCTCTCTAGGTTAATTTTAAGTCCAAGAAAAAATTCATAATAAAATATATTTATACTATATATGTGTACATATCACTATAGCAAGGTTATTTTATTATATTAAATTAATCTCATCATCTTTATTTATGAAAAGTGACTGGCACTAGATCATAAACTTAGGGAACTTAGATATAATTTCAAAAATGAAGAATGTCTTGTATTTCAGTTCCTTTTCCAAATTAATTTTATCACTCAGGGGAGCATATGGTACAAATAGGACTTTTCCCCCAAAGTTTGAAGCAGATTCCAAGAGAAATATTCAGTTTACTGATACATGTGCTTAACATTTGGGTTCAAGACTCAAAAACTTGTGGATAAGTATTGTATAACTCTTTTTAATAATAACATCTAGGATAGATATTTCAGCCCAAAAACATTTTTTTTTTTGATACAGAACAAATTCTGTTTGAGAATCAACTGTTTTGAACAGTTTTTTTTTTAAATATATAGCACCGACACTCAATCCATATTGATATGAAATATTTGAAATTTGAATATTTCTATAGTGCATAATTCCATAACCTTAAGTCTATAGGGACATGTCAAATACTACCAGGTACTCGTTTATATATACAATGGAAGATATTATATATAATGAATGGGCATCACAGTATATATATATATTTTGCAGCACACTTAATAAGCATGTGACATGTCCCTGTAACCCACATCTAATTATAGGTAAGTAGTGGGATTATTAGTGGAAGCCAATATCAACACATCCAACTAATACAGTACTTTAAAACAAGAGCCCCATGGGCCTAACAGGTCACCTGAGTTGTAATGCAATTGTTATTTGTTGTTGTGATATGTCAAAAATAAAAATTACATATATATATATGTATAGCAGGGAATTTTGCCCCTCACCAGGGAGGAATTAGTACCCAAGGGGTTGTGAAATTCACATTTTGATTAAGCACATCAGGATATTTCCATCCATGAGAAGGTTTTTTAACATATCTGGATCTGGAAGTAGACAATTATTGTTTGAGCTATTTTGGCCCCTTTTGGCTCCGCCCCTCAGGCCCTTAGCGTCCACATGATCACATCATGTAAATGTATCCCCTCCCCAAGAGTAAAAGGGCGACAATTGATAAAAAAAACCTTAAGATATACACCTCATATACATCAGATATACACCTTCTAAACATCAGGTATATACCTTCTATACATCATGTATACACCTCCTATAGGTCAGGTATACACCTTCCATGCATCAGGTATATATACCTTCTATACATCATGTATACACCTCCTATAGGTCAGGTATACACCTTCCATGCATCAGGTATATATACCTTCTATACATCAGGTATACACCTCCTATAGGTCAGGTATATATATACACCTTCCATGCATCAGGTATATATATACCTTCTATACATCAGATTACACCTATACATCAAGTACATCTTGTATGCATGCACATATACATGAGGTATATGTAAGGTCCATATTCTCTGTAGGTAAGGTACCTCATCTTTATAATAGTTGTCTGATATTGGTTCATATTGATTGCATGCACAGGAAATATAACATGTTTGCTTGTGCTGGAGTTTCCCATTTATGTTCCCTTATTGTGGCCTCTCAAGAACAAGAAGCACAGGCACATTATTAATAGCTCACCTGGAATAATATTTTTCATTAAAAGTTGTTGATTACCTCTTACCATACAGGAAATATCAGCTTGGGGATCTCAACAATTTCCATGTTATGACTGAAGGAGTAAGTCCTCAGGGATGGGGTGGGCTCCATTAGGGACTATCTTGGTATCATGAGTGTTTTTCCTCTGCATGCCCAGCAGCATTTGGATGGGATCTTTACTGATTTCATGTAAAATTTGGGGACTATAAGCCCCTTGTGGCAGGGCAGGACCCTGGCGCCAATCATGTAAGCATGGATGTATTCAGATGGTTACATGGTGGGGGATCTTAATTATCTTTACACCCAAACTTCCTCTATTGGCACCCAAATGCTCTGGCCCAGTGACTGATTTGCCTCTGTTTTTTTCAGACCTGAGATATGCTACAATTACAGGTTTTTGAAGATGAAATGTCTTATTTTCCTCTTTACCGGAAATATACCATGTATATACTTTGTATCATGTACATTGTATCTTCTGGAAAATGAGTCAATACACTATATATAATAGAGATGATAAATACAGGTACCTTATGCAATGAGGCTGTATTATAGAGGATACCCTTACTAAATAAATAAGGACTTTTTATGTACCCTGTATACCACTCTCTATATACCATTCTTTATATACTCTGTAAACCACTTCTTATTTACCCTGTTTACTAGTTTGTATAATCTGTATACAAATCATTATATAACCTTCTCAATATTTCTTTATAAAGATATCTTTGTTGTGTTTTATAATAAACAAGAGGCACTGAGTTAGGACAAGTCTTTCTAACAAAAGTGTATCCAAGTTTTGATGCTCAGCAATATATTATATATATATATATTACTACATCCAGGTATAACACATGTAGTTACTACTACTGACAGGTATTACACATGTATATATTATCACAGATAGGTATTACACATGTAGTTACTACTACAGACAGGTATTACACATGTATATATTATCACAGATAGGTATTACACATGTAATTACAACTACAGACAGGTACTACACATGCATATACTATCACAGATAGGTATTACACATAAATACTACTACAGACAGGTATTAAACATGTACTACTACATACATGTATTACACATGAATATACTATCACAGACAGGTATTGCACATGTATTTACTACCACAGACAGATCATACACATGCATTTACTATCACAGACAGGTATTACACATGTATATACTATCACAGACAGGTAATACACATGTAATTACTACTATAGACAGTTATTACACATGCATATATTATCACAGACAGGTATTACACATGTATATACTATCACAGACAGGTATTACACATGTAATTACTACTACAGACATGCTGTAAGTGTTACCATGTATCTGGCTTGTGTGAAATGCCTTTTAGGTCACAAAATACAATTGTATCTCTACAAAATATATCTTATAAGTGATCAATATCTCAAAGACTTTAAAGAACATGCACCTGATGATGAAATATCACTTATCTGTATACATATGTATCAAATAATGAAATATTACTTCTTGTCTGTAATAGTATAAGTAAATACAAGTTTATAACCAGTTTGAAACAATGAATTAATGTTCCTTACATTACAGTATATTGATAGAACATAGAATTACAAATACATAAGTATGTTCTTTAATGTCTGTGATAGTTAAAACAATTTTATCTGAAACAATATAATTAAAGATACATAGCCTGTCTGTGATAATAAATACAGGTGTATGACCAGTCTGAAACAGTAAATAAAAAAAAATGTCCCCATGTCTATCTATATGTTATACTCCACAGAGACCAAAATGGCTTTAATGCGGTCTGTGATAAGCAGCCGAAACAATTAATAAATGTTCCTAATATGTTTAATGTCAATTACCTGTCTGTGAATTTGTACGGGTAATATTACAATTTTATCAAATTTCTTTAAAAACATTTAGAGGAAATCCGTGAAGAAAATCAAGATAAAACATTTTAATGAATAAATTGTAAGTAATACATGCAGTAGGATCGTTTTCCTTCAGTTATGAAATACATAGGAACATCCATTTCTCCACCACTTACCCCCCATCTACTTTATAAAGCTTAACCTTTTAAAATAATGTTAATACCGCTATAACCAGACCTATTTGGTGGCATTAAACTCCTACTTTCACTTTCACATACTTCATTTCCGGTTAAGAGATACGTACGAAACTAAGGCTTTCGATTTAATGCTTTACCGAGCGCTGTGGAGGAGGGTTTATTATCTCAAATTCAAATCTCGTTCTTTATAAGATATCTTATAACCGAATTATATAAGATATCTCATTTAATTTTGTTTATAAGATATCTTATATATTATATAAGATATCTTCTAAAAGATATAAGATATCTCATTTAATTTTCTATATAAGATATCTTATATCTTTTATGAGATATCTTATAAAGAAAGGTATATAAGATATCTTATAAAATATATAAGATATCTCATTTATTATATAAGATATCTTATAAAGTATATAAGATATCTCATAAAGTATATAAGATATCTTATATAATTAAATAAGATATCTTATATAATTTGGTTAAGTACTGGATCAACATTGCTCCATGCATAAATGACAACTTGGCTTGCCATACAATAGTGTCACAATTAAACAATATTTTAAAGTCTTGTTTTAAGTGATTATCTTTTACAGGTTGTTTTTGTTGTTCTCTTTTTAGTCTTTTCTTCTAAAACAAAATCGTGTTTTATTTTACAATCGATTAATACCTTAATGGCTCATTACCACAATAAAGACAAAAAATGCGCTAGATTATTTGCCACCTAATACTAGTTTAAAATAATTATGACAATTTGAGACAATGGTGACCATGTTGAATCTCTAACTGAGCCAACTACAAAAACTACACTCGATAAGGGCAATACTGAGAACATCAGTTCTGCACCAATGTTTGCTTAGAATGACGAATAGTTCGAAAATGCCTCGGCAAATTAGAAAACATGGATACCGTATTGTATAAAAGATTTCGGGTCTTTAATCAACCCGAAAAAAGAGCACTCGTAAATGTCAGGTCTAAGAGAAGATTTTGACAAAATTTCTATTTCCATCCAAGCCTCCACTCCTTCCCCTCCCCCACACACCCTACACCCCTCCCCCCAAAAATGAATTATCATGAACATTAAATGATCGTTTGTACAACGTTTGGTTAAAATTAGCCTCGATGAACTTGCAAAATGGAAACTTACTTCACCTGGTCCAAAGGTGTGACATACCGAATCATGTGTAATATATTAAGTCGTACTTAAGTTGTAACAAATGTATTTACTAGTTTCCATTATTCGACCCATATCCCTATGCCCCAATCGTGACTATGTCCTTCCTTTACACTACATTTAACACTAGGCAAAGGAAACCTTCGACAACAAAATCAAGGTCGTCTGATGTCCACTCAGGTAAATCACATACACAACCTTAATATTCGTCTTTAAAGACTGACTTCTTTTTCAATTTTTGATCAAACGCTAGAGCTGCTTCATAATGAATAAGATTACCATCCCTTCATTACACCCAGGGAGGCACAATCTAGATAGAACGATTTAGCTTGGTGCAAATAATTTATGTACTCTAGCTTACAGTGTTCTGTTTAAATAATCGCAAACCTCTTTTTAAAGTTTGAATATGTAACGCAAAAAACTCACGCTTTTGATGAAATCTTGTTTAGTTCTTACGGCATCAAATATATCTTTTGTGCGCTTCAAACGATTTGTGATATCTTGTGACGTAGGTAGAACGCTTTGTCCGCACACTGGAAATTAAAACAACGTAAATAATAGTATATCTCTGAAGATTAACCTACAGAGTTTGGTAACTTTGGTGTGAAGACAACAAGACAATTACAAAATATAAAAATTGAATTGAAGTCCGTGTAACAGGAAAATTATCCATTTTTTTTTTTATTATTTTTTATTTTATTGTTGAAGCATATAATAAAACAGTTATGAGATTTCGTGATACAAAAGTTTAAAAATTACAAGAAGACTGATTATCGAGGCCTTTCGCTGCTATACAGCTCCAAAAGAATTATTTTATTTTGAAGTTTTATTCAGTCAACGGTACAATAAGGCGGACGAACATTATGACGCAATACACATTACGTCTTAATAAATGTACGTCCACTCTATTGTTACGATGTATAACGTTGTAATTTACGTCCGCTTTGTTGTTAAAACGTATAACGTTGTAATTTACAACCGCTATTTAGTTACGCTGGTTGATTGTACCTATAATATAAAATCATTGTCATGCAGAGCTGTATAGCAGCGAAAGGCCTCGATAATCTGTCAAAATTATTGCCACAAATCATTGATTATTACTCACCGTCAAGTATCATGTTTTTTCTAGGATCCGGACAGGACTCGGAAGCACACGCTGTGATAAACGCATTACATTTCCTATTTCTATAACATTTAAGGGTCTCCGACTCTATAAAAAAACACAAAAAGAGTTCAAAGTTAATGAATCGATCATTCAAACTTCTGAAAGCGTAGATATGTTAGCAGTATTCTAATTTTAGAGTTTTCTGCGTTTTAAACATTGCGCTTATTTATGATCGCGCTAACTTGTGTTTCTGATTATAGTTTGCACTAATTTATGATCGCGCTAACTTTTGTTTCTGAATATTGTTTGCGCGTATTTATGATCGCGCTTACTTATGTTTCTGTATATAGTTTACGCTAATTTATGATCGTATGTTTCTGAATATAATTTGCGCTAAGTTATTATCGTGGTAACCTATGTTTCTGATTATAGTTTGCGCTAATTTATGATCGCGCTAACTTATGTTTCTGAATATAGTTTGCACTAATTTATGATCGCGCTAACTTATGTTTCTGATTATAGTTTGCACTAATTTATGATCGCGCTAACTTATGTTTCTGAATATAGTTTGTGCTTATTTATGATCGCGCTAACTTATGTTTCTGAATATAGTTTGCGCTAATGTACGTTCGCGCTAACTTATGTTTCTGTATATAATTTCACTAATTTATGATCGCGCTAACTAATGTTTCTGTATATGGTTTTCAACTAAATACATTGCCAGCGCGCCAATTCATCATTGCTCTGATCTGTAAATATTCGATAATACACTAAAATATTGGTTTGCTAAATGAGGTACTCTGGCAGTATGTTGTACGTGTTGCTGAATCAGTTCAGTTTCTTTATTATGTCATTTATTTTATCAAGATTGTAACGTAGAATGCTGTCATTTATATTAATGTTATCACTACATATTTTTACGCTATTAATACATACCGCCATTGCTTGGGTTCCTCGCCCCTGCTCCCATCATCCTTGCAGGCACTCAAAAGTAAAGGAAAGTTGTTATTCTCGGTATAGGTAGGAGACAAATGCTTATTCTTACCATGTGTTTATGTGAGTTATGTATAAGACATGCGAATGACATAAATAGTCGTTTGAACAACGTAAATTATATCTGTTGAGCGGAAATGGCTAAATTCGTATGAATGTCTAAATTGATATTTGCGTTACGAACAAGATAAAGAATCTAATGAATGATTTAGAAATGCTGTAAATGTATTTATATTATTTTTATATAAGAATTACAACTGAAGTAAGAACGATTTGCATAGTCATATGCATGACTTAGAATGTATAAAATCGAATTCAGTTTGTAGATATTTGTTGTTTGGACATCGCAGTACATAGTGACCTAAAGATCACAGTACATAGCGACCTAAAGATCGCAGAACAAAGTGACCTACAGATCGCAGTACGTAGTGACATAAATATCGAAGTACAAAGTGACCTAAAGATCGCAGTAAATAGTGACCTAAAGATCGCAGCACAAAATGACCTTCAGGATCGCAGTACAAAGTGACCCAAAGATCGCAGTACAAAGTGACCTAAAGATCGCAGTACATAGTGACATGTACATCGCACTACATAGTGACCTAAAGATCGCAGTACAAAGTGACCTAAAGATCGCATTACATAGTGACCTAAAGATCGCAGTACAAAATGACCTTCAGGATCGCAGTACAAAGTGACATAAAGATCGCAGAATATAGTGACCTGTAGATCGCACTACATAGTGACCTAAAGATCGCAGTACAAAGTTACCTAAAGATCGCAGTAAATAGTGACCTAAAGATCGCAGTACAAAGTGACCTTTAAGATCACAGTACATAGTGACCTTCAAGATCGAAGTACGTAGTGACCTAAATATCGCAGTACATAGTGACCTAAAGATCGCAGTATGATGTGACATAAAGATCGCAGGACAAAGTGACCTTAAGATCGCAGTAAATAGTGACCTAAAGATCGCAGTACATAATGACCTAAAGATCGCAGTAAATATTGACCTAAAGATCGCACTACATAGTGACCTAAAGATCGCAGTATATAGTGACCTAAAGATCGCAGTAAATAGTGACCTAAAGATCGTAGTACATAATGACCTAAAGATCGCAGTAAAAAGTGACCTAAAGATCGCAGTAAATAGTGACCTAAAGATCGCAGTAAATAGTGACCTAAATATTGCACTACATAGTGACCTAAAGATCGCAGTAAATAGTGACATAAAGATCGCAGTAAATAGTGACCTAAAGATCGCAGTACAAAGTGACCTAAAGATCGCAGTAAAAAGTCACTTAAAGATCGCAGTACATAGTTACCTAAAGATCGCAGAAAATAGTGAACTAAAGATCGCAGTACATAGTGACCTGTAGATCGCACTACATAGTGACCTAAAGATCGCAGTAAATAGTGACCTAAAGATCGCAGTAAATAGTGACCTAAATATCGCAGTACATAGTGACCTTAAGATCGCACTACATAGTGACCTAAAGATTGCACTACATAGTGACCTAAAGATCGCAGTATATAGAGACCTTAAGATTGCACTACATAGTGACCTGTAGATCGCACTACTTTGTGACCTAAAGATCGCAGTAAATAGTGACATAAAGATCGCAGTACATAGTGACCTGTAGATCGCACTTCATAGTGACCTAAAGATCGCAGTAACTAGTGACCTAAAGATCGCAGTAAATAGTGACCTAAATATTGCACTACATAGTGACCTAACTATCGCAGTACATAGTGACCTAAAGATCGCAGTACATAGTGACCTAAAGATCGCAGTACATAGTGACCTAAACATCGCGATACATAGTGACCTAAAGATCGTAGTACATAGAGACCTTAAGATTGCACTACATATTGACCTTAAGATCGCAGTATATAGTGACCTCAAGATTGCAGTAAGTAATGACCTAAAGATCGCACTACATAGTGACCTAAAGATCGCAGTACAAAGTGACCTTAAGATTGCAGTACATAGTGACCTTAAGATCGCAGTACATAGTGACCTAAAGATCGGAGTAGGTAGTTACCTAAAGATCGCAGTACATAGTGACCTAAAGATCGCAGTACATAGTGACCTAAAGATCGCAGTACATAGTGACCTAAAGATTGCAATACATAGTGACCTAAAGATCGCAGTATATAGTGACCTAAAGATCGCAGTACGAAGTGACCTAAGAACACAGTACAAAGTGACCTAAAGATCGCAGTACAAAGTGACCTTAAGATCGCAGTACATAGTGACCTTAAGATCGCAGTACATAGTGGCCTTAAAATCGAAGTACATAGTTACCTAAAGATCGCAGAAAATAGTGAACTAAAGATCGCAGTACAAAGCGACCTTAAGATCGCAGTACAAAGTGCCCTTAAGATCGCAGTACAAAGTGCCCTTAAGATCGCAGTACATATTGACCTAAAGATCGGAGCAGGTAGTTACCTAAAGATCGCAGTACATAGTGACCTTAAGATCGCAGTTCAAAGTGACCTTCAAGATCGCAGTACATAGTGACCTACAGTCGCTAGATAGTTTAAGACACGTGAACCTTGTAAACTAAAGACCGGAATACCCAGTGAACTAAACATCGGAGTAACTGATTAGCTAAAGACCAGAGTAATAATTGAGATAAATGCCGGAGTCATTACTGAACAAAGGACCAGAAACACATAGTACACTTAAGAGTTAAGTCAATAGTGACCTAAAATTGGGAGTTCGTGGTGAGCTCTAGAGCGAAGTACCTGATTGGCTAAAGACCGCAATAAAAATTAGCTTAAAACTAGAGTAACTAGTAAACAAAATACTCTTCTGCCTAGTGACCTAAAGACTGGAGTAACTAGTGCACAAAATACTATATTGCGTCAATGATATTGACCTAAACACCGGAGTCACCAGTGAGCTAATGACCGGAGACACTAGTGAGTTAAATAGCGGAGATCCTGATGAACTTATGATTGGAGTAATTAGTGAGCTAATGATCGTTCGATTATTCTTGGACAGACTATCAAATCTAGAAACCATAATGAATTGAACATGCTGCAGTACATCGTTAGTGCATTTCCAGTAAGTTACCATGTATACTCGGATTTATGTGGGTCAACGATAACACATATATACATTGTATCGGACAACTTGACAATTACAATTTGTGGGAGTTAACAAAGGATACGATTTAAACTTTATTTCACTTGATTGAACTTTTATCAAAATAGACATTTAGTTCAGGTGATACAAACTAAGATGAAACATTGAAACGAATCCAACGTGACACATTTATCTAATGATATTTCAAAAACAATATTGCATTTATTTCATCTTCTCAAAAATCCAACAATGATGATGGACGAGTAGAGAAACTTCTCTGATACTAAGAAATACTGTTTGAAGCAGAAAACGACAGGTAGTTTATTATGAGGGGGGAAACGAATATGAATGATCAGGGTTTTGTTTAGTATTGTTTAACGTCCTATCAACAGCTTTGGTCATTTAAGGACGGAATAAGGACATGTTCAGAAAGAAGCTCCGGTATGTAACTTACTGCTCCATGGTATATGTTTCTGTATACTCCCCAGCATGGTATTTACAGCGGTAGTGCTGTTTGGAGCTATAGTCTTCATCATGCTTTGGACCATTTGCATCCATCGCTTTATCCTCAAATGACCTACAATAACACAGAACTAGTAACAAGGTTTACATAAATTAAACATAACCTCAACCAGCAAAGCAACTCCTAAGGATTTATATCAATGACAAGTAACGATGCACACGAACAATCAACAGAAATAATTAACTATGCAAAGTTTTATGAAAGACTAACAACAGAAGCCAATCTCAGGTGAAACAAGCGCAGTATACAATAATTCAGACATGCCAGGTGTAACAATACTGGTCAATGACGAAACAAAAATGTATATTTAATATACAATAACCGGTCACGTCTGAAGTAGCATTAACAGTCTAAAACATAACACTATAGACGAAACAGTAGTAGGCAAAATGATATTATTATGAAAGGTTATTCCATGTTTATGTTTTCGCAAGGTATCCTGCTACCTCATATGTCAGAAATATGAATTAAAAATTGAATTCATATTGAAAGATTTCATGTAATTCAATATTCATCAAAGTTGGTACCAGATTTTCATGCGTTATTTGAAAACATGCTTTGTAATGTGCACGTTTTTTCTGTACGAGTCAGTTACTTTTAAATTTACTGCAATAACACAAACGTCTATTCTATATGTTTCAACTTTGTAGAAATCTCAAATATTACTAACTAAAAACTACGATAAAAAGCTAGTTATATATATCTATTGATTTGTCCTATCCTTTGTCAAAAAACCGGTTTGTATCCTTATCAAATACATACAAATATGGGAAGAATAGCTCTGCTTGAAACATCAAAATATAAAAGTTGCATAGTACCTTCAGGCATTTTCCTCGTAGACGACCTCTTTATTCTTGGCATCGAAAAGCCTGCAAACAGACGTTGAAAATAAAAAGTAAAAATAAACCGAAATTATCATATATTAATAATAATAATAATAATTCGACGTTCTTATATACTGCTTTATCACAACCTAGTTCGTAGGTCGTCTCAAAGTGGTTCACTAAATATAATTCGTGGTTATAGGGCCTTTGCACCCAGCCAAAATCTTTCTCAACTCCCTGTGGAGCATACAGCCGGTGCTGCCATTTAGGCGCTCACATCTAGCATTCAACCATTCTAGCACTGCCAAACCACGTACTCATTTACAGCTGAGCAGACTGGAACAAGCGCAGTTAAGTATATTGCTCAGAGATACCACACAGTACCGTGTCGTGACCCGAACTCGCAACCCTTCGGCCACGAGCCTGGAGTCCTACCACTAGACTACCGTGCCTCCTAAGATATATATTTTATATAAAACAACGAGTATGTAGTATGAGTATAAAGCGTAAACTTTGAAGGTAAATTAATCAGGAAACCTGTAGAGCCATGTGGCGAGTGAACGCGGCTAGTTTTCAAGTCGGTCGTAAATATATGGGTTTCCAAAGTCATAACGATAGTATAGTCCAAAATTGTCACTAGATCCGAATCAAGCCCATGAAAAAGACATAAACATGAACAATTACATATCACAACAAATGACACGAACATGAAACATCACCATAAAGCAATACTTCGTCACATAATAGTAGTAGGCTTTGGGTTATGTCCCCTGGCCGAGACATACCTAACAGGGTCTGTAAAAATGGTAGGTTCTACTCCTGCTTAAAGCTCAGCAATTTAGGAGTGGGGCGACTGGTTCGCCCGTTGTCAGTATAATGTGACCGGATGGGGTGTCCTGCTAGGTGTCTTCGGCAGTATGTTTCAGTGAGGTAGCACTATAAAGTCTGTATCAGTTCCGCGTTATCACAAGGAGACAAACACGAACTTATCGCAGCCTTCCAAAACACACACGCATACACTACACACATGCTTCTTGCACATAGGGTAGGTCGTCCTTAAATGACAATAGCTGTTGATAGGACGTTAAACAATACTAAACCAAACCAAACTTAATAAAACTTGCTGATGTGTATGCATATCTCTTTGGATTGGTATAGCCGAAGGCTCTTTGTAGTGTTTAATCTAGCTTCAAAAATGTAAGAATGTGCACTCAAGTTAGCTTAACAGATTGCTAGATCAAAAATATAAGGAATGGTAACGAATAAATCTATCTACATAGCCATATGATCTACGTGCAAGCGAGTTGTTGCCGTACGTGATGAATATAACGTCTAACGATTCGATACTCATGCTGTTGGTAAGTATTCCGTCTTTGCGTATTGCAGAGTTATCTTCTCTTTTTAACAGGTATTGATTGCTACGTCATTTGTTTGTGAGAGTAACGTCATCAAGTTTTGAGAAAACGATGTAATGTTTTCACACAAACCAATGACGAAACAATCAATACCTGCTCACAAGAGAAGATAACTCTGCAATACGCAAGGACGGAATAGCTTTAAATACATAATACGGGCGAGACAAGTTCAATGTTTTGTATTAATGAACTTACCTTTCCCCATGTGCATATATTTCTTCATGTAAGAAGACATGACGTCTGGATTGGCTTTCTTTTTGGAGCCAGCCTTCATCATCTGAGGTAATCCTTCCATTATAGACTTAACAATCTTAGTCCATCTCTTCGACCTTACACGTTCTGGTGGAATGAACAAAATGAAATAGTAATACTTCGACATACAGTAAATGGATGATGTTATAAGTTGGCATTTTTATTCTTCTTCATCGGCTTATTTCAAATGCTAAAATCCGATTATAATGGTAAAAATAAACATAACATAGTTTGCTCATGTGGGAAATTAAAAACGTTTACTTAATTATTGTATTAAATGTCTTATGTTCCCACTTGTTAAATTACTTATGATTTATATACAAAAACATATTTACCCGAATCTGTATTATCCGATCGCTTTATTCGTTGCCCTGAAAGAAGATTGCTTTCTTTAGTAACTCTGGATTTTCAAAATTCACAACAAGTCATAAGGTTACCTACATTGTATAAACCGAAAGCACATGATTGTTTCAAATTTTATAAACGTTATTGTTTTCATTATGTTTATCTATTTCAGCGGAAATCTCCTTTTATTAATCAATTTGTTTACACATGTTTTATGTCAATAGTACCGCTGAGGTTATGTAATAATGTTTTTTGTTTCCCCTTAACTAACCCCGTTTAAACTAGCCTTTTCCTGGAAAAATGAACATGGAGACCCATGAAAAGTACACAGAGAATAACAAAAGGTGCTCCGGAAGGGTAAGCGTCCTCTGCTTTATCGACGACACACGTCATTAAGGTCAAGGTCAAATCTAATAATATGTAATGTTAGTCCCTGATACAGAGAACTGGAGTAGTGGTTTATAAAAGAACAAGACATAATCACAAATATCGACCTTCATATTATACAAAGAAATGGCATTGTTCTCAATGAGATGATAATGATTACTATTAAACCTGTCCATAGTGTCATTAACCTTCATCTGAAAACTCTGTGTTGTAAGTATGTCCGCCAGCGGTTAAAATCTACCGCGGAATCCTTGATATTCAAAAGCTTAACTATCTAAGCACTAGGTCGAAATTATATACCAGTCTGTAAGCCAAAAGAAACGTAAGAAAACGAATAGGCAGTACTTAGTTCAAGGAGCAGCCAGAAGAAACGTATTAACAAGGGTAAACATTTACGTTAAACTTAGGTATGTAAGCTTGTCTTTTACTTAAAAGAACAATATATTGAAGTTTCATGAGGATGTGACAAAGGCTCTTTTTTAAAATTGAAATTTGAAATCGATAGAAAGAGAAAACAATAGGAACTGATACAGTCTCTCAAATAAGGGAGGGTGAACCAAATATATAAACCAAGTTAGGTGTATTGATGACAAAAATGATAACGAACGTAATTCTGGCAATACAAATAATACATTTCTATAATTAAAACCCTCTATCTCTCTCATACAGACAATGTGTAACGATGCATACCTTGTTGTTGTGGTGCCTGGAGGGCTAACTTTGCATCATTGACAGCTTTTCCTATATCGGCAGCAGACGAAGAAGCCCATTGCTCACTCAAGAATTTTTGGAAAACATCAAGAAGAGGGCCAGCGTCGACAGCAGGGTCAAGTACAGAAAACATCGTTTGTTGGACCCTTTTCGTTGCTCTTTTGATAAATTCTAAAAACGGTTGTTCGTGATCTAGAATTAGCTGACATATTTCGTAATTGTTGTCGGTGTAAGAGCAAAGAGACATCAGAGCATTACTGACTGAAAGAACTTTACTCGGATTACTGAAAGAACAATCATGAATACATTAGTCAATATTGACTAAAGCAATGAATAAGGTAAATACGACAGAGAACCGTAAACGTCAGCACACTTCTCAGTGATAGTTGCATATGTCTGATTCAAATATATGTTTAAAACGAGACCGGTAAATAGTCTAGGCGGTCACCTGAGTAACATTATGGTATACGCGAAAATATTGAGTACAATAAAACGCGAGTGAATAAAGGATAATGACATAAGAGTTTGGTATAATCCGTAAGTAACTTACTCATGTCGCTGTGGTTTGAAATTCGGATCATTTTCAGTTATCTGGAGAGTCATTGACGGCGGTTTGTTGAAAATTTGATCATTTCAATCAAAGAACAACTCGATTGAAGGTTTTATTGTACTCTATGACCGTTTTGCCCCCACTCCCCCGGGAAGTAAGCCACTGGTGTAGTGTAAACTGTGCTCTCATTCCGGTAAAGTCATTAATGCCAAGTTTACAATTGGTTTAATACATTCAGTCGTTTTGTAGAACTTGAAAACGTAAAAGGTTACCGTAAAACGCACCACGACGGAAGATGCACGATCAGAGAAGGTCAATCTAAAACTTTATATCAGACGACCAAAACTAGATGGGCATAATTATCTTTTCCCCAATTATCTTCCATGAGAGAGAGAGAGAGAGAGAGAGAGGTTAGTAAACAATACATCAGTTAACATATAGAGAACTAATTAACATAGGAAATGTGCCATAAAGACAGCCTATAACGTACAGGTATGTATCTTTTAAGAGCTTAACATTTAATAGCATGCATTAGCTTTGTAGATATTTCCCAAAATGTTTTCTACATGGAGATTTACGGTAAATTTTGCGGAAATATCTCTCGTGCATAAAAAGTAGTAATTGTTTAATCATTGTCATTCCTTCGTTTGCTCAACTTCCTACATATCAAGTAAATCCCATGCATTCGTTTCCTAATATATAGTTAGTACAATGGTACGGTACCTTTCTTTATACTTGCCGCTGAGGCACTCGGCACACTTATAGTACTTCTTGCTGATTTCAACTTTGCATTGATTGATATCATTGAACATGGTAGGATTATTTTCAACTGAATACTTGGTTGCCTTCAGTTCAAGCCCAACCTGTTCCAGCAGAGGCCGGCGAATGGCTTTGTTAAATTCTAGAAAAGAAAAAAAACATGAAAAGAACGTTTTTTTGAATAGAAAAGACGATTCGTGAATGATTAAGTTAAATTGAATAAGAAAAAAAATCCGATAAAAAGACAATAAAATATAAGATATGAATAGCTTAATTGTGTGTTAATGTGTTGGTTTGTGATGGGGATTGGGGGGGGG